GACAAACACCGCGATGCGTGTATCACGAAGGAGGGCCATTGCCCGAAACGTCGCCTATTATATATTATCCTTTTAAATACACGCCTCAATACGGCAAAGCCCTGCGCCACAGGTGCAGAGTGGTCACGCCACGCTTCTCCGCGCATGATGGTATTTGACACGTGATGGATTTAATTCACGAAGGCGAAATGCCTGCTCGCTGCGTAAGAGACTCTCTCTCGCCTGCATTAAAACAACACCACACGACACACGAACACCTCGGAATAAAGCTGCCGCTAGGGAGTCCCCTAGGCTAAACCGATTCTAAACCGAAACTCAACCATATTTTTTACTTTTTTATTTTACCAGGTCAAGCTCTTTTTTAGAAGCGACCTGGCCACAAATGACATCTCGACGAAGTGGCTCATCACGTGGACATTTACAGCAGCCACAGACTCTGAACGCGCGACGTTGATTCTGAATGTGAAGGGGAAAAGCGGAGGACCCGGAGAAAAATCCACGCTACCACGGGGAGAGAGAGAGAAAGACACGCAAACTTCAAATATACAGCAGACGTCGTCAGGGTCGGGATCGCACCCACGACCTCCTGTAGATGAGGAGAGGCAGTTAACATCTCCTAGCCACCGTGATGATGGTGATGAGAGATAGACACAAACTCCAAATATACAGCAGGCGTCAGGGTCGCGATCGAACCCACGACCTCCCGTAGACCAGGCGAGACAGTGAACATCTCCTAGCCACCGTGATGATGATGATAGAGACGCAAACTCCAAATATACAGCAGCAGGCGTCGTCAGGGTCTGGATCGAACCCACGACCTCCTGTACACCAGGCGAGGCAGTTAACATCTACTAGCCACCGTGATGATGAGAGAGACACGCAAACTCCAAATATACAGCAGACATCGTCAGGGTCGGGATCGAACCCACGACCTTCCGTATGCCAGGCGAGGAAGTGAACATCTCCTAGCCACCGTGATGATGATGATGAGAGAGACGCAAACTCCAAATATAAAGCAGACGTCGTCAGGGTTGAGATCGAACCCACGACCTCCTGTAGACCAGGCGAGGCAGTTAACATCTCCTAGCCACGGTGATGATGATGATGAGAGAGACACGCAAACTCCAAATATACAGCAGACGCCGTCAGGGTCGGGATCGAACTCACGACCTCCTGTAGACCAGGCGAGGCAGTTAACATCTCCTAGCCACCGTGATGATGATGAGAGAGACACGCAAACTCCAAATATACAGCAGCAGGCGTCAGGGTCGCGATCGAACCCACGACATCCCGTAGACCAGGCGAGGGAGTTAACATCTAGCCACCGTGTGCCAGACGAGGGATGGACTGTGACACCGATGGATTGTAAGACACGTGTGCGTTTGTTCGCTGAACTCATTCTCGCACCGTACGTAGCCGACCGCGCTAATCGGAGTTGCGGTTGTCGAGAAATGAGTTTGCGATCTCGCATTGACGGTGCGTAGCTCCCAGCGACTTCCGACTACACAAGTATTCAGATCAGACGTCCCAAAGTGCTCTTCCACTCACGTCCACCCTCTGCACGCGATCACCTCGTGTCAACAATGCGAGTATCTTTCGATTTAAAGCTTTCGTGACTGCAGGGATTCATCTTCTTGGTTCTTTCGGTAAAGTCACGTAGAATGGAAATAATAAAATAATTACAAATACAAATAAAAACGTAATAAAATAATTCTCACGACGTTTCGGCCACAACGCAAGCAGCCGTCCTCAGGTGGAGAACAGGTCTGTCGAGAAGACAGAGTCAGACTCTGTCGTGAGAATTATTTTATTACGTTTTTATTAGTATTTTTAATTATTTTATTATTTCCATTCTACGTGACTTTACCGAAAGAACCAAGAAAATGCGAGTATCGTCGTAAATACATTCAATTTCTACCTACGTCTCCACCCTGCCCTGCCCCCCCCGTCTCCATCATGCCATACTTCCCCTAAATCTGCAAGCGCCGGGCCGTGAAGGGAGACGCGCGCGGAGCAGCGGCCAAAGCCAAACTTATCGGAGTGTGAAATGGATGGAGCATTTAATCCGAGGCGCTGTCCACTCGCATTGTTTACCGACTCGTCCCATCGGCGCGCGCGCCACGGACACGGAGCCAGCGACAATGTTGTTGGGGAGAGGGGGAGGAGAGGGGGGTGGGTGGGTGGGTGGGGGGGGAGGGTGGGTGGGGGGGGATGGCGGGTGGGGGGGGAGGGTGGGTGGGGGGGGATGGTGGGTGGGGGGGGGATGGAGGGTGGGTGGGGGGGGGGGTGGGTGGGTGGGGGGAGGGTGGGGGGGGAGGGTGGGTGGGTGGGGGGAGGGTGGGTGGGGGGAGGGTGGGGGGGGAGGGTGGGTGGGTGGGGGGAGGGTGGGTGGGTGGGGGGAGGGTGGGTGGGGGGGAGGGTGGGTGGGTGGGGGGGAGGGTGGGTTATGGGGAGGGTGGGTGGGTGGGGGGGAGGGTGGGTGGGTGGGGGGGAGGGTGGGGGGGAGGGTGGGTGGGTGGGGGGAGGGTGGGGGGGAGGGTGGGTGGGTGGGGGGAGGGTGGGGGGGAGGGTGGGTGGGTGGGGGGGAGGGTGGGTGGGGGATGAGTGGGGAGGTAGGTGGGTGGGTGGTTGGTTGGGGGGGGGGGGTGAGTGGGGAGGAGGGTGGGTGGTTGGGTGGGTGGGGGGATGAGTGGGGAGGTAGGTGGGTGGTTGGGGGGGGGTGAGTGGGGAGGAGGGTGGGTGGGTGGTTGGGGGATGAGTGGGGAGGTAGATGAGTGGTTGGTTGGGGGGGGTAGGTGGGTGGTTGGGGGGGGGGGGTGAGTGGGGAGGAGGGTGGGTGGGTGGTTGGGGGATGAGTGGGGAGGTAGGTGGGTGGGTGGTTGGTTGGGGGGTGAGTAGGGATTTAGGTGGGTGGGTGGGTGGTTGGGGGGATGAGTGGGGAGGTGGGTGGGTGGTTGGTTGGGGGGGTGAGTGCGGAGGTAGGTGGGTGGGTGGTTGGTTGGAGGGTGATTTGGGAGGTAGGTGGGTGGGTGGTTGGTTAGGGGGTGAGTGGGGATCTAGGTGGGTGGTTTGTTAGGGGGCGTGAGTGAGGAGGAGGGTCGGTGGGTGGGTGGTTGGTTGGGGGGTGAGTGGAGAGGTAGGTGGGTTCGTTGGTTGGGGTATTGGTTCGTGCGTGGGTAGACAGTTGTGGTGGGTTAGGGATAGGATTTACATCAGTAGGTCTGCGTGGTGGGTAGGTGAGTGAGTAGGTGTGTGTGTAGGTAGGTAGGTGAGTGAGTAGGTATGTGGAGAGGCATGTAAGAGGCGGAGTGGAGAGGTAGGTGGGTGGTTGGGTAGCGAGGTAGCTGTGTGGGGAGATGGTTGAGTAGGTGGTTGAGTAGGTGGTTGAGTCGGTGGGTGGAGAGGGACGTAGGGTTACGAGTGAGTTGGTAGGTGGAATGGCGACGCTTGAACGCCATCCTCACCACAACCCTCACCGCCCCTCCCTCGAGCACCACCGCTGCACAACCAACACGAGACGGAGTCATTGCCATTACTTGGTCGTCAGCGGGCTATCAGAGATCATTATCCACTTTGTTCAATGCCCAATGCCCCCATAGCCCCCTCCCCTGCCCCCTGCCCCCCCACACGTCTCACGCATTACATTGGGTGGGGGGTATGAAGGAGAAGGGGGAGACAGGGATAATGTCGAACACGACAGCTTTAGATTTGAGATGTCCGCTTCAATTAGGGTCTATGCGGAGGGGGGTGCGGTAGGGGGTGGGCAGGGGGGAAGGGCAGGGGGAGGGGGGAAGGGCAGGGGGGAGGGGGACTTGAAGAGAGGGGAGGGGATTTGGAGTGGGAAGCAGCAGGCGGGTCACGGTTGACTGCTGCTGAGACAATGAACGTCGGAACGGGGCCAGAGTCGTCGATTGCGTTTAGCCGATGATCCCAGCGCACTCCATGTTGATATGATCTCCCGTTCATACACCCTCCCCATTGTTCACCCTCCCGTTCATCCACCCTCCCGTTCATCCACCCTCCCCATTGTTCACCCTCCCGTTCATCCACCCTCCTGCTCACCCAGCCACCCGTTCATCCACCCTCCCGTTCATCCACCCTCCCCATTGTTCACCCTCCCGTTCATCCACCCTCCCGTTCACCCAGCCACCCGTTCATCCACCCTCCCGTTCATCCACCCTCCCGTTCATCCACCCTCCCGTTTGTTCACCCTCCTGTTCATTCACGCTCCCGTTTGTTCACCCTCCTGTTCATCCGGCCTTCAGTTAAATTATCTCCTGCCACACCACCCCACCCCATGATACCCACGTTGTACCCCACCCCACCCACCCACCCCACCCACGCTGTACCCCACCCCACCCACCCACCCCACCCCACGCTGTACCCCACCCCACCCACGCTGTACCCACCCCACCCACCCACCCCACCCAGCCCCCCACGCTGTACCCCACCCCCCCCACGCTGTACCCCACCCCACCCACCCACCCCACCCACGCTGTACCCCACCCCCACCCACCCACCCCACCCACGCTGTACCCCACCCCACCCACCCACCCCCCACGCTGCACCCCACCCCCCCCACGCTGTACCCCACCCCACCCACCCCCCCACGCTGTACACCCCCCACCCCCCCATGCTGCACCCCACCCCACCCACCCCCCACGCTGTACCCCCACCCACCCCCCCACGCTGCACCCCACCCCACCCACCCCCCCACGCTGTACCCCACCCCCCACCACCCCCCCCACGCTGTACACCCCCCACCCCCCCATGCTGCACCCCACCCCACCCACCCCCCCACGCTGTACCCCCACCCACCCCCCCACGCTGCACCCCACCCCACCCACCCCCCCACGCTGTACCCCCACCCACCCCCCACGCTGCACCCCACCCCACCCACCCCCCCACGCTGTACCCCCACCCACCCCCCACGCTGCACCCCACCCACACCCCCACGCTGTACCCAACTCTACCACGTGGTGTCGCTGCGCGTCACTCTCCGCATGGACGCGGGGTCGCTGCTGCCTGGTACAGTGCGTATCCACACACACACAGACACAGGCAGACAGACCCATCATCACACAGGGGGAGTGTAAACCTGAGCAGTACGTGGCTTGTGAGGGTGACAGCGGTGTTGCTGGCTGCTGCTGCTGTTGTTGTTGTTGTGTCTCCTCAACGTGAGTTGAATCTTTAACGTGCAAGACCCAGCTTGGGTTACAGTACAGTAACAGCTGATACACACACACGTGTCTGTGTGTATAGGTCGACTCGGCCTCAAATGAGTACCTGGTGCGATGTGTAAACATCGCCACTGGGGAGACAAAGGCGGTCGGGCGTGGTGCTGGCCACCCACCCTCTCGTGTGCCGTGCCGGCCTTCATAGGTGCTGCTCGCTAACAGCACTTGCTCCTACAGTCTGTTAAGGCTACATGGGGGATATTTGTCTTTGTGTCTGTGTGTGTATGTCTGTGTGTGTCTCTGTGTGTGTGTCTCTGTGTGTGTGTCTGTGTGTCTTTGTCTGTGTGTATGTGTGTGTGTGTCTATGTGTGTATGTCTGTGTGTCTGTGAGTGTGTGTGTCTATGTGTGTATGTCTGTGTGTTGTCTGTGAGTGTGTGTGTCTGTCTGTGTGTGTCTGTGTGTGTGTATGTGTGTGTGTCTGTGTGTCTTTGTCTGTGTGTGTCTGTGTGTATGTATGTGTGTGTGTCTATGTGTGTATGTCTGTGTGTGTCTGTGAGTGTGTGTGTCTATGTGTGTCTGTGAGTGTGTGTGTCTGTCTGTGTGTGTCTGTGTGTGTGTCTGTGTGTGTCTATCTGTCTATGTGTGTCTATGTGTGTGTCTATCTGTCTTTGTGTGTGTGTATATATGGGGAGCGGTGGTATAGCGGTTAGCGCTACGCTGCTACTACGAACCCGGCGACCCGAGTTCGATTCCCGCTCACGGCCAACACCGGTTGCGATTATCTGAACCGGTCCTGGGCCTCCCCTAGGTCGACTCGGCCTCAAATGAGTCTCTGGTGCGGTGTGCAGTAAGCATCGCCAACTAGGGAGACAAAGGCGGCCGGGCGTGGTGCTGGCCACCCACCCACCGACCCCCTCGTGTGCCGTGCCGACCTTCATATGTGCTGCTCGCTAACAGCACTTGCCCCTACAGTCTGTTACAGGCTATACGGGGGATCTTTGTCTTTGTGTGTATACTGGGTATCTCCTAGGTCGACTCGACCTTAAAGCTGAATAGGTACCTGGGGAGACAAAGGCGGCCGGGGGTGGAGCTAGTCACACCAGCCCCTCGTGTTGGGGCTTACTAGGTGGCCGCGGCAGTCAGGTTACGTAACTACAGCTGACGTCTATGTCTGTGTGTGTGTGACTTGTCTGTGTGTGTGTCTGTGTGTGTGTGTGTCTCTGTGTGTGTGTGACTTGTCTGTGTGTGTGTCTGTGTGTGTGTGTGTCTCTGTGTGTGTGTGACTTGTTTGTGTGTGTCTGTGTGTGTGTGACTTGTCTGTGTGTGTGTCTGTGTGTGTGTGTCTCTGTGTGTGTGACTTGTGTGTGTCTGTGTGTGTGTGTCTCTGTGTGTGTGTCTCTGTGTGTGTGTGACTTGTCCGTGTGTGTGTGTCTGTGTGTGTGACTTGTCTCTGTGTGTGTGACTTGTCTGTGTGTGTGTGTGTGTCTCTGTGTGTGTGTGACTTGTTTGTCTGTGTGTGTGACTTGTCTGTGTGTGTGTCTGTCTCTGTGTGTGTGTGTCCTGTCTGTGTATGTCTCTGTGTGTGTGAATTGTTTGTCTGGGCGTGTGACTTGTCTGTGTGTGTGTGTGACTTGTCTGTGTGTGTCTGTGTGTGTGTGTGTGTCTCTGTGTGTGTGTGACTTGTTTGTCTGTGTGTGTGACTTGTCTGTGTGTGTCTGTCTCTGTGTGTGTGTGTCCTGTCTGTGTGTGTCTCTGTGTGTGTGACTTGTTGGTCTGTGCGTGTGACTTGTCTGTGTGTGTGTGTGATATGTCTGTGTGTGTGTCTGTGTGTGTGTGACTTGTCTATGTGTGTGTGTGTGACATGTCTGTGTGTGTCTGTGTGTGTGTCTGTCTCTGTGTGTGTGTGTCCTGTCTGTGTGTGTCTCTGTGTGTGTGACTTGTTTGTCTGTGCGTGTGACTTTTCTGTGTGTGTGTGACTAGTCTGTGTGTGTGTCTGTGTGTGTGTGTGTGACTTGTCTATGTGTGTGTGTGTGACATGTCTGTGTGTGTCTGTGTGTGTGTGTCTGTCTCTGTGTGTGTGTGTCCTGTCTGTGTGTGTCTCTGTGTGTGTGACTTGTTTGTCTGTGTGTGTGACTTGTCTGTGTGTGTGTGTGACATGTCTGTGTGTTTGTCTATGTGTGACTTGTCTGTGTGTGTGTGTGACATGTCTGTGTGTGTGTCTGTGTGTGACTTGTTTGTGTGTGGGTGTGTTGTCTGTCTGTGCGTGTCTATGTGTGTCCTGTCTGTGTGTGTGTATCTTATCTATGTGTGTGTGAGTGCACCATTATGTCTATCTAGTTGGGTGTACATGACTGAGTGTGTCCGTCAGCGTGTGTTTGTCTATCTGCTCATCTGTCAGTGTCTGTCAATCATTGAAGGATCTGGCAAGACTGCGTTGGCTGGGTCATGTAGCCCGCGTGCCCGGCCACCACGTGACCAAGCAGTTTCTGTTGGGCCGCATGGAGGGGGCTTAACGGGCCCGACACGGGCTGGAGAGGAGATGGAGCTGATGCGGTAGGGGAGGATGTGGAGCTGAGTGGACTTGCCGATGACCGGTACCAGCGGTGTCAAGATCGGCCTCTGTGGAGGCTGATAAGCGACGTCACAACAACGATCGGAGCGCTGGGTGGATAAAATGCATAATAAAGTTTTTTGGTTAGATCGCGTTATTTATAAATGTGTCGTAACCCTCCACCACCCGACACGGCCAATCAGCAAAAAAGTGTCACGTTGACAAAAGACAAATAGTTCACTACTTTAGCCCACCGGTGTGTTGTGGTTTCTCTTCAACACACCGGTGGGCTAAAGTAGTGAACTATTTGTCTTTTGTCAACGTGACACTTTTATTGCTGATTTGCCGTGTCGGTGGTGGAGGGTTACGACACATTTATAAATAACGCGATCTAACCCAAAAACGTTTATTATGAATAATATTGGCCGCGAAAGCCTACGTGTTAAACCTGATAAAATGCACCTAGCCTGGCACGGTAGGGGTACAGCTGGTGGTGCATCTACCGGTCATCTCAGTCAGCCAACCCATGGCACCTGCTGGGTCTGTCCCAAGATCTCCTGCACCTAGCCTGGCACGGTAGACAGTACAGCTGGTGATGCATCTACCGGTCATCTCAGCCAACCCATGGCACCTGCTGGGTCTGTCCCAATATCTCCTGCACCTAGCCTGGCACAGTAGGGGGGTACAGCTGGTGGTGCATCTACCGGTCATCTCAGTCAGCCAACCCATGGCACTTGCTGGGTCTGTCCCAAGATCTCCTGCACCTAGCCTGGCACAGTAGGGGTACAGCTGGTGGTGCATCTACTGGCCATCTCAGTCAGCCAGCCCATGGCACCTGCAGGGTCTGTCCCGAGCCTTCGACACTTCACGTGGTGGCCTCAAGGTGCACCTGGCCTGGCACAGGCGCCGTGGTGACGTCACTAAGTGGGGAATGGCGGGTGTATTGGTGTTTGTCTCTACCCGTGTATGCTTGTCCGTATTTCTGTCTGTCTGCAGTATGTCTGTGCGTGTGTGCGTCTCTGAAGACGTCTGTCAGTGCATGTGTCTGCCTGCCACAATGCGTGTCTGTCCACGTGTCTGTCTACGTGTCTTCTTAGCACATGAAGGTCCATAGCCCCGAAACGTCGCCTGTTGTATATATTTGTCTCGCTGTGTGTTGTAATCACCCCTAGAGGGCGCTAGAGTCGCATGTATAAGTCAATTGCACAGTGAGACCTCATCCCTTACCACGGTTGGGCCTAATATCGGACGTTTCGCCCCCACCGCGCGGGGGCCTTCTTCAGGAAGTGAACCGACAGTATCAAAATCAACATTTTTGGGTTTAGACCGCGTTATTTATAAATGTGTCGTAACCCTCCACCACCCGACACGGCCAATCAGTAAAAAAGTGTCACGTTGACAAAAGACAAATAGTTCACTGCTTTAGCCCACCGGTGTGTTGAAGCGTGAAACCACAACATTTACAATTTGAGTACGACGTTTCGCTGGTAATTGCATCCAGCATCATCGGGCAATTCGCCAAACGTGTTAAACTGATAGTATTCAAGTTGATCTTTGAGTTGGAACTGAATTCAGTTCAACGCCGGAGTCCGACGTTTTCCGACCCACGTCCCAACGTCGGGCCAACGTTCGTCCGACGTTTTCCGACCCCACGTCCCAACGTCGGGCCAACGTTCGTTCCGACGTTTTCCGACCCACGTCCCGACGTCGGGCCAACGTTCGTCCGACGTTTTCCGACCCACGTCCCGACTTCGGGCCAACGTTCGTCCGACGTTTTCCGACCCACGTGGGTCATAGGTCACGTGAGGCGACGGTGACGGCGTGGGGAGGCCGTCATCATCCAGCAATGGTGATGCGATGTGGACGATGATAACCTTCCGTTATTATTATTATTATTTTTGCTACAATAATGACAGATATGCTTGTGTGCACGGTTGAACTTCTTTCGCGCCGTACGTAACCAACGGTGCCGATCGGAGGTGCGGGGGAAGGACACCGATAAAGCCTTGGTGAGGTGCGCTGGTTTGCCTCGCGCGTGCCGGTATTGCCGTGGCGACGTTCGAGTTGCCGGTGAGCCTGGCAATCGCTGGCAAACGATGCGTGCCACCTCCGGAGATGGTCCTCCGTGAAATGCGTTTCAAACGAATAAGTCGTTTGAACGACCCGCGCGTGATTAACTAATCGATCAATCTCCGCGTCTTCCCCTTGCAGAGATGACCGGGATGGAGGAGGAGAGATGGAGGAGACGGGTACCTGCTGGTGGTGACGGTGACGGTGGCGGTGACGGTGGTGACGGTGATGACGACGACGACGACGATGAGTGCCCGGAGTTGGTGGCCACTCTCCTTCCCCACGAGCGCATTCCCATCACCATCATCTCGGGCTACCTGGGTTCGTGCTTTCACAACGACAAAGATCTCCTCTCGCCCCCCCACCGTGCTGCCTAGCGAGTAGAGCCTGTGTAGGTAGGCCGGGACAAGGCGCGCGGGGCGGGTGGGTTGTGGCCAGAACCATGCACGCCCGGCCGCCTTTGTCTCCCCGATGTTTATGATGCACCGCACCGGGTACTCGTTTGAGGCTGAGTCGACCCTAGGGGAGGCCCAGGATGGGTTCAAATATTCGCCGCTGTTTTGGCCGTGAGCGGGAATCGAATGCGGTAACCGCTGTGCCACCGCTGCCCCGTTCAAAGACAAAGATCCCCCATGTAGCCTTAACAGACTGTAGGGGCAAGTGCTGTTAGCGAGCACCCATGAAGGCCGGCATGGCACACGAGGGGTTGGTTGGCCAGCACCACGCCCGGCCGTCTTTGTCTCCCCAGTGGCGATGTTTACACACCGCACCAGGTACTCATTTGAGGCTGAGTCGACCTAGGGGAGGCTCAGGTCGGGTTCAAATATTCGACGCTGTTTTGGCCGTGAGCAGGAATCGAACCCGGGTCGCCAGGGCCGTGGCTTGGCACACTGACCGCTGTGCCACCGCTCTCCATTCACGCACACGCACACACACACACACTAACACACACAAAACACACACACACACTAACACACACACACAAACACACACACAAACACACAACACACACACAAGAGGCCTTCACCCAGCAGTGGCTAGATCACGGGCTGCGGCGGTGGCGACGACAATGACGACCCGCGGCTGTGTCCTCGCAGGAGCCGGCAAGACGACGCTGCTGAACTACATCCTCACGGAGCAGCACAGCAAGCGGGTCGCCGTGATCCTCAACGAGTTCGGGGAGGGTGAGTCTCGCAGAGCGGCGCGGAGAACTCGGCACAGACACTCGGCACAGACACTCGGCACAGACACTCGGCACAGACACTCGACACAGACACTCGGCACAGACACTCAGCACAAGCGAGCCGAGTTCCATTCCCGCTCACGGCCACCGACGCTGCTGACCGGCGCCGGATTATCCTAGTAGCAAAAGTAGCTGCATGTGTAGTAGCTACTACATGTGTACACAAACCCTGAAGCGCATCCGCCGGACAAGTAGCGGGCAGCGCCAGCAGACACTCGACGATGTGGCAGCGGCGTAGCGTATGAAGCAGCGGGGATGGGGCACGGGCTGAGCAGGGATGTAGCGGGGAAGAAGCAGGAATTGGCAAGCAGGGAAGAAGCAGGAATAAAGCAAAAGTTGAATAAGAGATCGAGCAAGCGAAGCAGGGATGAAGCAGCGAAGAAGCAGTAAGTAAGCAGTGATGAAGCAAGCGAGAAGCAGGGAAGAAGCAGGTACCAAGCAGAAATGAATACGAGAGGAGCAAGAGAAGCAGGGCCGAGCGAGGAAGCGAGGGGGTGTGGGAGAGGGAGCGGAGAGGGAGCGGGGAGGGAGCGAGGGGAGCGGGGAGGGAGCAAAGAGGGAGCGGAGAGGGAACGGAGAGGGAGCGAGGGGGGGAGCGGAGAGGGAGCGGGGAGGGAGCGAGGGTAGGGGGGGGAGCGGGGGAGGGAGCGGGGAGGGAGCGAGGGGAGCGGGGAGGGAGCGGGAGAGGGAGCGGGGAGGGAGCGGAGAGGGAGCGGAGAGGGAGCGGGGAGGGAGCGGGGAGAGAGCGGGGAGGGAGCGAGGGATAGCGGAGAGGGAGCGGGAGCGGCGAGAGGGAGCGGGGAGGGGAGCGGGGAGGGAGCGGGGAGGGAGCGGAGAGGAGCGGGGAGGGAGCGGGGAGGGAGGCGGGGAGGGGAGTCGGAGAGGGAGGCGGGAGGGGAGCGGAGAGGGAGCGGGGGGGGAGCGGGGAGGAGGCGGGGAGGGGAGCGGGGAGGGAGCGGGGAGGGAGCTGAGAGGGAGCTGAGAGGGAGCGAGGGGGGGAGCGGAGAGGGAGCGAAGGAGGGGGAGCGGAGAGGGAGCGGAGGGGGGGAGCGGAAGAGGGAGCGGCGAGAGGGAGCGAGAGGGAGCGAGGGGGGGAGCGGAGAGGGAGCGGAGAGGGGAGCGGAGAGGGAGCGGAGAGGGGCGCGAGGGGGGAGCAGAGAGGGAGCGAGGGGGGAGCGATGGGGGGAGCGGGGAGGGAGCGGTGAGGGAGCGGTGAGGGAGCGGGAAGGGAGCGAGGGGAGCAAAGAGGGAGCGGGGGGGGGATGCGAGGGGGGAGCGGGGAGGGGGTGGGGGGGAGCGAATGGAGATAAAGCGGACGTGGGGTCCCGCTCGCCACGCCGTGAGGTTGAGCGGCTGAGGGCCGCACCAATCAATGGAGTCCTAATCGAGCCGCGGCGCGCGGCCCGGTAATTGATTTAGAGACGAGGAGCCGGAGCTGCTGATGAGGAGGTGGTGGTGGTGGTGGGGGGGGGGTGTTGGTGGGGGTGTGGGGGGGGGGGTGTTGGGGGGGGCCGCGTGGCCGCGTTGCTGCGCCGTCTGCCTTAATACCGATCCTGCCGGCCGCGGGACGACGCCATTCCGTGGCATTCAATTAGCAGCCGCAACTCGCAGTTAACCTTTCGCATGCGGGCGGGAGGGCGGGCGGGGCGGAGAGACGGGAAGAGAGAG